CCGAACGAGTCCATCTTCAGTGAGTTCGCTGGCTCCGCTGAGCCTTCCGATGAAGGCTCTGGCGATGTCAAGTATCACTTGGGTATGAACTTCGAGCGCCCTACTCCCTCCGGTAAGCGCGTCCAATTGTCTCTGGTTGCCAACCCCTCCCACTTGGAAGCCGAAGACCCCGTCGTGCTCGGAAAGACCCGCTCTATCCAGCACTACAACAAGGATGAGAAAAATTTCGACTCTGCTATGGGTGTGTTGCTGCACGGTGATGCGGCGTTTGCTGGTCAGGGTGTCGTGTACGAGACCATGGGCTTCCATTCCCTGCCTGCTTACTCCACTGGCGGTACCATTCACATCATCGTGAACAATCAGATTGGTTTCACTACCGATCCTCGTTATTCCCGTTCCACCCCCTACTGCTCGGACATCGCCAAGTCGATTGATGCCCCTGTCTTCCACGTCAATGGTGATGACGTTGAGGCCGTGAACTATGTCTGCCAGGTCGCCGCAGACTGGCGTGCGGAGTTCAAGAGCGATGTCGTCATTGACATTGTCTGCTACCGTAAGCAGGGTCACAACGAGACCGATCAGCCGTCTTTCACTCAGCCCTTGATGTACAAGCGTATTGCCGCTCAGAAGAACCAGCTTGACAAGTATGTCGAGAAGTTGATCACTGAGGGTACCTTCACTAAGGAGGACATCGACGAGCACAAGAAATGGGTCTGGGGAATGCTTAACGACAGCTTTGACCGTAGCAAGGACTACCAGCCTACTGGCAAGGAATGGCTGACCTCCGCATGGAACGGATTTAAGACCCCTAAGGAGTTGGCCACCGAGGTTCTGCCTCACCTCCCCACCGGTGTTGAGGGTCCTCTTCTGAAGCACGTTGCTGACAAGGTTAGCGGTGCTCCGGAAGGCTTCACTCTGCACCGTAACCTCAAGCGTATTTTGTCCAACCGCAAGAAGGCCGTGGATGAGGGCAAGAACATCGACTGGGCCACTGCCGAGGCTCTTGCTTTCGGCTCCCTCGTTTCGGAAGGCTACCATGTCCGTGTCTCCGGTCAGGATGTTGAGCGTGGTACTTTCTCCCAGCGCCACGCCGTTCTGCATGACCAGGAGAACGAGAACACTTATACCCCTCTGCAGCACATTTCTGAGGATCAGGGCAGCTTCGTTATCTCTAACTCCTCCCTGAGCGAATTCGGAGCCCTTGGCTTCGAATATGGTTACTCATTAACCTCCCCTAACGCCCTCGTTATGTGGGAAGCGCAGTTTGGTGACTTTGCCAACAACGCTCAGTGCATTATTGACCAGTTCATTGCCTCCGGAGAATCCAAGTGGTTGCAACGCTCCGGTCTTGTTGTCTCCCTGCCCCACGGTTACGATGGCCAGGGCCCAGAGCACTCCTCCGGCAGAATGGAGCGGTGGTTGCAGCTCTGTAACGAGGAACCTCGTATCTTCCCCTCTCAGGACAAGCTTGACCGCCAGCACCAAGACTGCAACATGCAGATTGCGTACATGACCGAGCCTTCCAACCTGTTCCACATCCTGCGTCGCCAGATTCACCGCCAGTTCCGCAAGCGTATGTAACTTCCCTCTGTTTTACATGAACTACACTAACTCTCATTCTCAGCTCTTGTGATTTTCTTCTCGAAGGCACTCCTCCGTCATCCGATTGCCCGCTCTGATATTGAGGCCTTCTCTGGCGACTCTCACTTCCAGTGTATCATCCCTGACCCCGCTCATGGCTCTGCCATTGATGAGCCTGAGAAGATTGAGCGTGTCATCCTGTGCTCCGGACAAGTTTACGCTTCCCTGCTGAAGCACCGTGAGGCGAATGGCATCCGCAACACTGCTATCACTCGTATCGAGCAGCTCCACCCCTTCCCTTGGGCACAGCTCAAGGAGAACCTCGACAGCTACCCCAACGCCCGCAACATTGTCTGGGCTCAGGAAGAGCCTCTGAATGCGGGTGCCTGGAGCTACACCCAGCCTCGCATTGAGACTCTGCTGAACGAGACCGAGCACCACAACCGTCGTCACGTTCTCTACGCTGGTCGTTCGCCTAGTGCATCCGTGGCCACTGGTCTCAAGAGCGTCCACCTCAAGGAAGAGCAGGAATTCCTCGAGGAGGCCTTCTCCGTTCACCAGGAGCGGTTGAAGGGTGAGTAAGCTTGTGGATAATTTAGAGCAAGGGATATAATAGCCTGTACTAGGTGCCTTGTCTTCAGAGAATTGAGGCAGCGAACACTCGCTTTAGTCTCCTTTGTACGATTTCCTTTGTTGACAACATCCTAATCTACAGACGTATTTGTGTTGGAACGTTAGATTTCTGATTTCTGACACATGTTACATGGTCCGGCCTGTTTATACCTAGCAAGTGTCTTTTGTGTGTGCATGTAAATTAAAGATTTGATATACAATTTACCTTTTTTTGCTTTTCTACAAGTGTTAATACGCAATACTGGTTACTACTGGTGGTAAACGTATGTATACGAGAGGTTCTAAGTTAGGGTTGTTGTGATGACGTCAGAGCATAGGGTATGGTTAATGCAGCAGTGTTTGGGAGCCTTAGGTTATCCACAGGCACCAATCACCTGACGCTGACCCAAAGGGGAAAGCGATTCTGCCGTTCTCCGCACTTGGAGGACTTCGTCGTTTCGTCCCTCACCTGTCCATGCCCCAGCGATCGCGTTACTGGCGGGTCGTCATCGGTGATTGCCTATTACCTGATTGATTGGGGTCTTTGGTGCTGTGTCCCTTACACGCTTTCACAATGTCTTCCGCCGTCTCATCGTCGGCCGTCAACCCCCGGCAGTCGGTGCGCCAGACACGGACTAATCCATCAAGAACTTCTAAGACCCTTGGACGATCCTCCTTTGCATATGGTCATGGCTCATTGACTGACACGCCTCCTACTCCGCCTGTTGCCCATGGCTTCTACCCCGCTCTCACACATTTCACTGACGCCATCACCGCCCTCCCCCGAGAGTTTCGCCGTCATAATTCCCTGTTGAAAGAGGTCGATGCCAAAGCGTGGGCTCTTGAGGATAACCTCCAGCAGCTACTGAAGGCCTCATCAGAGTTACAAGCAGCCCCCCCTTTGACCCAAGCGCCTAACAATGCTGGTGTGCCGCAAGAAGATCTGGCTACGGTAAGCCCATGCAAGAGTTTTCGCGGGCAGTAGATACACGCAGAAACTGTATACTAAGATGCGTGCCTAATGTACAGGGTGCTCCGCAAATGGTTGAGCCTCAGGAGAGCTCGAACCGGCGTTATCTGCTTGGTCGAGTACGGCAGAACCTCCAAGACCTGATGATGACCGCAGACGAGAAGAACCACGTTATTTCCAATGCGAACGATGAGCTAGATCGTCAGCTCCTTCGCCTCGATACCATTTTCCCCTTCATCGCAGGCGAGATCAGCGACGAGGCACGCTTGGGTAGCCTCACACACTGGGCATATTCAAACAGGAATGCTGTTAAGACCACCACCAACGAGCGCCCTCGCCGGGAAGCTGCATCTAATAAAGATTTAGCCCACGCTCTTCACGAAGCAGAAGTTGCTTCGAGGAGTGAAGCGAGACGTGAAGCTGTTCTCGCACGTAAGCAGCGTCGGACGCATGCCGATTCTGATTTTGACGACGCGCGCGCCAGCGGCCGTAAGGGACAATCAGGTAAAGCACGAGGCACTGCTGCAAATGATGTCTCTGCAGTCGGTCATGGTCAGGCTGGTGCATCGGGACAGACGAAGCGACGCAAAGTTGAGCGGCCGCCAGCCGTAGATACTGGGGCTGCGATGGAACGGTCTGCAAGTGGTGCTGGTGCTTCTGGTCGTGCTGGATCAAAGGATGCCGCAGATGCTACCAAGAAAAGGTCTCGGGCACCTAATGCGAATGCGGCTGGTGCACGAAAGAGGTATGCCCCGTATCTCGTTGTTTTTGGGCTTTCCTGAGCTTCCGATGGGCTGACTAGATCACTTAGAAACAACACTGCTACTTCTGCCGCAAATTCTCCTGTTCTGGCACCATCCCCTCTGGTTGGGGCAGCCACCGTTCCGCGGAGCGCAGCAAGCCCTGGGCCTAATGCGGCGACCCGACCGCAGTCTTCTCGCACTCAACAGAATTCCACCCAAACAGCAAATGGGCGCCAAAGACCATCATCCTCGGCGTCGAACCGTGTGGCCAATAATAGTATGTTCGCCGGACATCTACTTTAATGTCCTTTGATTTTGCCACATTCAAACCCGTCATACTAACATGTGCGATGCAGATAAAACCACGGAAGCCAGAACAACACCCAAGGATACACCGAAGATGGAGACAGTCGCCATGGCGAACCAGGACACGCATCGGGAAATGGAAAACGAGACTACAGAAGCAGCTGCATCTAAGGTATCAGCACCCATCGGTACGAAACGTGAAGACACGGATGGAAAGCCCGCCGAATCAATCGAGCCTGGTGAAACCCCAGCTCCTCCGGCGCCAAACCCACCAGCACCGAAGGGTAGATCGTCTAAGACGACGACTCCGGTGCTGGCTACATTCTCAGAGCCCGCGCCGCGGGTCCGACCAACACGGAGTACGGACAATGCACCGGCCAAACGATCGCACAAGAAGAATGGTAGTGTGCCAGTCGTGCAGCCGAGGGCGGTTTCAGAAGAGGAGGAATCCTATCATGAGGGTGATGACGAAGACGAAGAGGGAGAACCGCGATATTGTTACTGTAACGAAATCAGTTTTGGTGAGATGGTGGCATGCGACAACGACGCCTGTCCTCGCGAATGGTTTCACTTGTCTTGTGTGGGTTTGACGAAACCACCAGGGAAGAATGGTAAGTGGCTTGCACTTATTTTGCCTCTCTACGACGAGCTGGGCTAACCGATGCAGTCAAATGGTATTGTAACGAGTGCAAGGATAACATGCGACGAAGTCGGAGTGGCCGGTAACCCTAAAAGCATTGCAGAATATCATGTTTCACGGAGTTCGGAAGGCGTTTGAGTACATAAAGGGTATATATAGAATGGAATTGAAGAAAAACTTGATAGTTTCAACATCAACATCAACATCCAACGCCCATTAAGAAACAAATCCACCTCTAAAAACACTCATGATTCATCTCTCAAATCCTCCTCCCTTGTCTCAACCCAACCCCCGAACCCTGACGCGCAGAAGAAGAAGAACCACTCGCCTCGGCCGCAGCAGCAGCCGCCTCACCTTCCAACCTCCTCCTCAAATCCTCATACCTTTCCTCGCCACCCGAAGGTCCAACCACCACCCTCCTTGTCCTCTCCTTCTCCCCCACAACCCAAGCCGGCACCCTCCACCGCGCACCCACACCCGGCAACATCTCCATCCGCCACGCCAACCCCACAAACCACCCGACAACCGCCGGCAACACCATGCCAGGAAACTGCGAAAGCGCCAACTGCGCCGCGACCAGATACGTCGTCGACTTATCCGAGAAAAGCAACGTCAGGGACTTCCCCGTCGACTGCGCCGTTGCGTCATCATCAGTGGGCGTGGAACTAGACGTTGAGATCCGGTAGCGGAATGTATGCGGGATGGAGAGGTGGTATTGCGCTAGTAAGGCGAAGATGGTAGCCGTTGGGCCGGAAGGCAGGTAATTTAGTTTTGTGAGTGAGAGCGGACGGATGAGGATTGTTAAAAGGAGGGGTGGGAGGAAGGTTGTGTAGGGGAATGTTGTTAGGAGGAAGGTCTATTATCATTCATTTATTCATTAGCTTCATCTTTACTTTATTGTTGTTCCAATCCCCAATATTTTTTTGTTCTTCCAACTGTTCATTCTGATTGAATGTGTGAAAGGAAGGAAATAAAGGAAGGTAGGGGATAAGAAATATAAACATACAGCCAACTTCCTCGCTCCCCATGCGCGCTCAACAACTCGTAAATGGTAGACCAGCATGGCGGCGAACAAGGCCTCCGTGGAATTGGTGAAACCCGCGACTTGCCATAGCAGGGCGCGCCAGAATTGGCCGTAGGGCCAGAAATGCGGGGAGACGTGGATCGGAGCGAAGTGTTTGATGTCGAGGATGGAGAGGGCGATGGATGAGGCGAGAGTGTAGATGAGGAGGGTTTTTGTTAGGGGAGTGTTTGTTAGTCCGGAGGTGTGCATTTTCGCTCTCTGTGTTTTGTTTCTTTTGTTTTGTCTTTGTTTCTTGGGGATAGGTTGGACCGGTTTTGGGCTTGACGGATGTTCGAGTGCGCGGGGGGCGTTCTGGAGGTTTTGTGGATTGGGTTTCGTGATGGGCGTTATTGGGGTGTTTGTTGCATTGATGTTTGTGGACCCCCTCTTGAATAGTGGGAGGGGAGTTGTCGTGGTGTTGAGTTGGGGTGATTGGAGATAAAAAGAGGAGTTGGAGAGGAAGGTGTGATGCGTGAACACGTTGCGTCGAGCTCGAAGCCGGGCCGAGGCTGCGGGTTCTGTGGGGTTTGTCGGCATGCCGATTGGAACTCTAATTGACGTATAAATGCATGTGTGTACTCCGCATGATGCGCAGGTTTAATTCTCTCGCTTACACTTAGGGGTTTCTGCTGCAATAACAAAATCAATTTGATCGCTAATAACTTGATATGTGGCTTGAATTACTTCAAAGATACTGGTTATTCATCTAAAGATTCTATTATACATCATTGCGCGGATGCTTCCTTCATCTCTTCTGCCAACGCGGCCTTATACTTCACCTGCGCTGTTTCTAGTGCTTGAATAGTGGGCCCCATCAGTTGGTTGACCGCCTTTTCACCACCTTGTATGCTCGATAGATTGAGTCGAGGTTTCTTGCCAGTGGCCTCCATGACTTCTCGCGCATGACGCTTCTTCCGATCTACTTCCACTTGTCGCTCTGCCTCTGCATCCTGTGTTACAGCCTTAATTCGCTCCATGGCCCGACTCAACGAGTCGACCAAGGATGATAATTCTCCTGCACGATCAGGGTTACCGGACAGGAACGCCTGCCAAAACTGGTGCAGGAACTCCGTCGTAGTAGCATGCGTCAAGGTTAAGCGGTCGTAGAGGCTGCTCGACAGACCATATGTGCTAGTACTGGAGGACACATCTGTCTGGGCTCGGCGATCTCGAATCGCGGCAATGATCTGAGCCGAAGACTTCTGAAGACTGGCTCTAGACCCAGGCTGTTGGTTGTTTTCCTTCTCGTCGTCGCCGAGTTCGTCCGGCTCGACAAGCCTGCCTAGTGGCGCGGTACCATCATCAGGTAGATTCTGTTCAATTTCCCTGCGTAGGTCGCTCAAAATCTTTTCCGGATCTTGCTGGGCGAACAGCCGGTTTTGTTCGTCTTCAGTTTCCTTGGTCTGGGCGGAGAAAAACCGGCTTTGGTCTCGAATATTCAGTAGGACGCGGTCCGCCTCCTCATCACCGCGCAGATCGCGTAGCTGTATTTCGTTATATGTATCCTCATCCATACCGACCGGCGCATGCGGATCACCGTCAGCCGGTGCGACATTTGCCATGATCTTCTCACTCAAGCTATTCAAAGTTCGGATGATTGGCACCTTGTCTGGTGCGGACCATCTCATGTCGAGATCAGGTCGATTTCCCCGGCGCTGACTATTATTCAGCTCATTTCCCTCCAGGTTAAGAAAATGCGGAACATGCGTTTCCCGTGGAAAATTCCCGTGCTCGTCCGCCTGCAGGTACTTATCCAGAATGGCATCCGTGGCATCAGTCTCCGAGAGCCGCTCTCCGCGCAATTTCTTGAACAATCGACTCTGGAAGAACCGGGACCAAAATTGTGCCTCGCTCAACTTGGGTACGTTCTCATCATACACACGCCTAACGAGAGGGTGCTGGTTGAAAATCAACTGGATCTGCTCTTTGCTGATATTTAACTTGGTCACATTATCTTCCACGCGCGGCTTCAGCGTTGATAGCACATTGTAAGAACCTCTTGTCTGCGACCGTTCAATGGCATGAGCGCGCAGAAGATGAATACGGGTTGACCAAAACTGCGACATGAATTGGCCCGCGGTCAAGGAGTCCGGCTTGGTATGCAGCGACTCCATGAACATGCGTTGCAGGTTCGGATCCGACTTAAGTAATGACTGTTGTAGCTCCACATCACCCTTTAGCCATTTGTCGTTATCCCAAGTGCTCTTGGACGAGACGGCACTTGCAAACGCCATGGCCGTTGACATACCTTCGCCCGCGCCAGGCGCAGGAGACGGTGTAGGCGCAGCTTGAGCCGTTTTTGCTGCCTGAATGGCCGTGCTGAGTGCATCTTTGATGGCGTCCGCTTCCGCGCGTGCGTTGGCTCCAGCAGTAAAGTTGAAGACGTACTGCTCGGGAGAATTATCTGGTGCGTTTGGGGGAAGGACAAAAATCTTCAACATGACTTTTGGGTTACTTGCTGGAGTCTGTTGTAGATCTATCCATGGCCAGTCAGTAACAGTCCCGCCTCGTTTCAATAAAAAAAAAAAAAAAAGCTGTCGGCAGACAAAACTGCCTCAGATGTCAAACGTTAAAGGCATGGTAGGGTGAGATAGTACGCACTCGTGATCTGAGAAACAGACAGCGTGATCGTTCCCGTCGCACCACCAGCCGCCGGGATCCAAGAGATCGACTGGCGATCCTGGGACATGGTCAGGGTGCCATCTTTCTTCTTGTATGCCGCCGACCCGCTCGGAGGTGCCATCGTCTTCGAACTCGACAGCGTCCACTGTCCAGGGCGGCGTATCGGGATCCACCCATCGGGAGGAAGAAGTCCCAACGGAGAATCCGAGAGCGGAAGGTCGAAGGCCTTCGAAACAGGGGACCACTTTGGCGTGGGAGAGGGAAACAGAGATGTACAGAGGCCACACGGAGAAATTGAAGCTCCGCAACAAGTTCAGTTAAAGCCTTGGAGCATGACCACATCGACACGTGACCCCGTGTCCGCCCTTCCTCTAACCCTAAGTTACCACCCCATCGACGAGCATTTACCTACGCTCATCTACAAATGTTACTTCCACGGATTCAAAAACAGAGTACTACTAATTATAAATTGAATGCATTATGAACCGACGCGGTCAGAATACAGTGATATCAGAAACAGCCATCCTTCGCCTTGCCAAACAAGAAAATAAATGAACAAAAGCAAGTCATACCCAAACGCAGCCAGAAGAATGGGGATATCGCAAACACCAGAAAATACGCAAAACACAAGGCCACACTCAGACAAATCCTAACGCTCAGAAGAACATTGCTCCCGCTATGCAGACAGATAACTCAAGCAAAAGCTAAACATGAGGCATAACATCGAATCCACCGACTTTTGATCGCTCATGCTTCCCTGTACAATTTGCCCGGATATAGCCAAACAAGAAGCGCCCATGATAGGAGAGGAAATAGATGAACAAAGCGCGCCACCAACAAACAAAAATTGTAACATAGTAGGGTATAATCATTCATCCCATAGAAGATTTGGACAGCAAGAAAACATAGTTTCCTGTCTTCAACATGTCCTCATTTTTTGAACATGTAGTGGCCGTAGATACCGCCGACCTCCCCAACGGCAACGGGGATCTTTCTTGCTCCCCACCACCTGGCACCCATTTTCCAGGAGCGAGAACCGTCATCAGGCATCTGAAGGGGCATAGAAGCCGGATCACGGACGTACCATCCCCGCCGACCTAGCTCACGAACGGTCCAGCCGAGGGAAGTCCGGGAATTCTTGGTTCTCTCGCGCAAAGGAGCGATAAGCTTCTCATGGAACTCGATGACCTGCAGCGGATAGCTTTGCTGTGAAAGCAGCAAGCACGAGCTAGGGTTGAAGACTGTTCCCAGCGACAACTGAGGAGCTTTAGTGAGGTCCAGATAGCAGAGCGTCGGCGGAACCCATTCCTCTTCTTTCATTTCCGCTGATCCATCCACGTCCATGTTAGCCCGCGGTGGTGGCTTAAAGAAAAGGTTAATGTCCTGAGCCGATAGTTCGGCCGAACCGAGACCGAGCTCTTCCAAATGTTTGGTCAAGGGGACCAGCGCTTGCGCGTGGGCCGAGGTGACCTTCGCACCCCCAATGTTAAGGGAGCGAAGCGTGGAGGGTAGCTTTGGAAGTAGCGCATGGACGTCATCTTCTTCCAGAAGTCGGTTCCGCGTAGGGTCCGTCATCAGGTTCAAAGAAACCAACGAGTCGCACACAGCCGGATGAGTAGCCAAGAACTCCACTACCCTCGAGCCCTGCAGACGAGTACAGCGAGACAGGCTCAGGTGGGTGATCCTCGCCGTTTTCGGGATCGAGAACAGGGCCGCCTCACTAATCTGTGTGTGAGTAACATCCAGGTGAGTCAGATTAACCAAGCGGGGCAGGAGTGTCTCAAAAACCGACGCCGGAAGACTGCTGCACTCGTGCAGCGAAACCCTTCTCAGGTTTGGCATCACCAATGGCAGACCAGGCCCGGTCATCAATGCTTCCTGAAAAACTGCCGAGAAGGACTGGGTCGAGCAGCCACAGAAATCGACGGCAAAGAGGTTCGGAAGTCCGAAGAGCAGCTTCTGCACCACCTCCACACTGAGATCACCCTCCACATGCTCCTGCAACAAACATTCCTTCAGGTTCGGCAAAAGGTCCAGACATTTCAGCAGCGTCTTGGAGGTAAGGTTTTGGATTTCGGCGTTCATCTGCTTGGTGCGTCCCAATCCCACTGAGGTGAAATGGGAGAAGTCGAGGCGACGAACCAGCGTGCCCAACGCGGGATAATGAGACATGTGGTTGAGCGCCTTCGAAAAGATGACGGAGTGCGGGAAGGTCATGTTTCTGTACAACACCGCGAGAGTAGCCGCGTGCAACGTCCGGGAGGCCAGCAGGCACGAGATCAGGTCCACATTGCGCGGCGTGTAGCCGTTTGGCGGTACGTCCAACGCCAAACATGATATGATTTGGTCTAACAGCAGTTCATTAGCAGACCGGTACCACCGCAGGAGGAGGGAGTCAGAACTTACCGAGCACTTCGGAGGGAAGCGTCTCAAGACGAGACAAGCCAGCGGCCGGTTTCGGCTGTTCCACCTGCAATGTCTTAGTAGGTGGCGGATTTTTAACAGGCGGCGGAGACGTTTCCCAGGCCCAGCCGCGGGCATGCATATTACCGAGAGCCCGCAAATCGCTGTAGCTCCTACTGAGACTCTTTCCACCTAGTCTAATCTGCTTCCAGCCGAGAAAGCCACCACAGGGGCAGCAAAAGTCGGGAGTTTGCTGCATCTCAACCGGGGTCGGCTTCGGCTGTTCTTGGGAAGGCTGGTCGATATGCGTATCCACGAAGGACTGAGCAATGCCTATAGGAATACCATAACAACAGATCAGCGACGGTCCTTTGCGTCCTAGCGACCGAGTGGAACGCGCGGTGGTGACATACCGTCAACGTCTTCTTTGAT